TTTCCTTCCCTCCCTACGTCCCTTCTTCTGCTGGCCTTTTGGTGGGGACGGTGCTGGTCGATGGAGGATGGGGCGTTCTTTGGATGACGGTGCCTCTTCGGTGTGGTCGTGGGCGTTCCTTCTCTTTCGAGCGCAATACTCTTTCTCGCGGTTGGAAGATTGAACCGGTCCGAAGTCGGTTGAAATCGCGTACGCGGTAAAAGCCGATGGAATGCTCAGAGACAGATGCCGAGCTTCCTGGCTGCTTCGACGCTCTTTATACTTCCGCCGAATGGCTCGCCGTGGTGTTTGACTGGATGAGCCGCGCTGACCAATAGCAGGCTCACGCCGTAACACAGCAAGGATTCTACAATCGGAGGATCAACAGCTGGTGGACCCCTTTGATTTTCGGCGTGACGTTCTCGGCTGTCTTGTCGGAGGGGGCCCATTGGGTAGCGTGACCAGAAGCAATCTATTGGACTTTGGTGATCCATTACTTAAAATATGGTGGGTGGGCCCATTGGATAGTACCTAAACAACTATAAACCTTCCCCATGAAGGTGGTAGTGTGCGAAGCAACCAGCACTAACCCAGAATAATGGGTGCTGTGTGGTCATTGACCACTACACTCTACTTAAACAAACAGGTCCGCTGTTATTTTTCGAGAAGAATTGACGGAATTTTAATAGGTGCAATTCGAACTTCTATTTCTGGTGGCGCTCTACCGGGATGATATTACGACTGCTTCAAAGAACAAAAAGACACTGGATCAAAGAAAAGCAAATTAAAAAAACTATGTGTGATAACTTTATTCAAATCAAGTGCTCACCATCAACGCTCAAATTACAAGTTAAATACATACGATCACATGTGCTTTTAAACGATAAACAATTAATTCTCCAATAAAGGCAATCGCAGAGAGCCCAATACCAAATACGTACACAATAAAAATACAACTAAGATGCTCGAAGGAAAGCGCTACCACTTCTTCGGCAGGAATGACCTCCCTCTTCTTGACCTCTTCATAAATCCTTTTGTCTTTATCGAGTTTTTCGTACAGTCCACTTTCCGTCAACCTGTCTACGACATCGTCTAAGCTGTCAATAAAGTAAACGTTTGCAGTACTTGCAAATACGTTGACAACTGGTAGAAATCGAGAATTATCCGTAAAGTAATTTGGGGTAGGTATACGTAGAGTCAATTCAATCGTACGCAAGTGGTTCAATAAAATAGGCATAGAAAAATTTGGGGCTTTAGACCATTTTCCCAACAACTCTTCAGAATTGAGGGTATTAAGAGGACAAAGGCTAGAGATACGTATATAGTCTTCTACAGCTTCCAAGTTGATTGTCGTAATCAGAATCGAAGATGCCGTTGGACTAACAAGAACTTTCATGTGTGCTTGTAGCAACTCATCAATGCTTGAAATAGCTTTCCCCTTAGGGGGCGATGTCAAAACGGGCACCAAGCTCGAAAGGTAGGCCGTTTGTATGTGAATACTGTACACAATGTAACACAAGACCAAAACTCGCACAGATGATTTGGGCATGCGATTGGTGCTGCCAAACAGTGTAAGGCTTAACGTACTCAGAATGATTTCCCCAAAACTTGCTCTAAATTTATTGAAAACGTACCAAGTCAAAGTAAACAGTAGAAATACTACGGCAACTGCAATCCATACCTCTTTCTGGAATAGGATCATCAAAAGTTCTAAACCTTTTCTGGAATCAGGCGGTGGAACGACCCAGATAAGCGTATCCGTGGAGTACGCATGACTTAATTGATGATCCTCATTTGTTTTCTTGGCCAAAAGAGATGCAGTGAATGCGATGATTCTTTTTATATTTGCGATGGATTTACATTCTTCCGTTAAATAACCGAGACATTCAACCAAGGACACATTTAAAACTTTGATTACTAGGTCAAGCGTGTAATTCTTTCGATCAAACTTATCAAATGGCTCCACGAGGCTACTCAAACGTTGGTAGAAAATTGCTGGACATCCGCCATAGTTTCTTCTGGGTTTGGGAATAGTATTTTCGATTTCACGATCACAATTTTGGCTGTGGAGTTTAAATGGCTCCCGCATGCACTTGTTCCTCATTTCATGCGGATTTGCGGTGTACAACAGAGACCTAGAAGTTTTTCCGCTCCCAAGCACTTTCTGGTGGTTATCAGTAGATACCTACTGCTTCGCGAATTTCGCTTATTCCATAAGCGGGTGCGTTGCAGATAATGGATTTCCTGTTGGATGGACTGATTGTCTTCAACTTCAATTACAAAGTTGTAGTAAATTTCTTGTTTGGATTTATAAGAAAGATGTTCGGTGTTTACGATGAGCTTGGGATTTTTTAAGCGGAGTGGTAGATGGTCGTTGCTCCTGTTTTTGAAGACATAGTAAAACGTCTCTCCTTCAAAAATAGTTTTGATGACCTTTTCGACACATATTATTTGTAATGGATACTCACTGAATTCGAGTTGAAAATTATTCACGAATCTCAGAAGGCCCGCAATAACGGCATAGAACAAAATTTTCTCCCTCATTTCTATCATGCCAACAAAGAATATACTAATTTAATTGGCTGGTGTTCGGGAGAACGGGGATAAGTCGAAAATGTCATATTCGAGAAAAACGGGTTTAAAGTTTCGTAAGAGTAATAATTATGTTTTGTTGTTTTAAATAAGTTTGAGTTCTAATTTTTTTTATTAAACGCTTTTATTGACACTCTAGTTTACATAAAACATAAATTTACATTTATAAAATGATCGCAGTGACTGCTACCCCGTGCCCACGGAACTATAGTCCTCCAACTCTCGTTCCGTGCGCACGGAACAGCAGTTGATATATTAACTCCCCGTGCTGTTAATCTGAGTTATGTGATTAAATACGAAGTTTCGCATATTGGGCACTCTAATTATTTTTTCATAAGATACGTATAAAATTAACTTTACATCAAATTAACATTATTTATTGAGAATACATTATTATTATAAGAAACTTTACAGAGTTAAACCAAATCGAAATAAATAAAAAATGAAAAATAAAATTCAGTTGTTGGATGGACCTGATGCTTTACGCCTTTTTCTTTTTGTACCAATGACTGTTAACTCTGAACCCTTCGGTCTTCCACATTTAACCATTTTTGGAGGTATTTGTATTTCACGTAACACTGGAATAAACAATCTTAAAAAAATACAATATAGTAATAATTGTGTTTACCATATTTCTTGCTAGTTCCTATATTATCATGTTTGTTGCTGATGTTCGATTCTAAAATTTTTCCCACTCCATCTGAAATTTCTAGATTTTTTGATATCGTTTCTTCTGCTACTATTTCTGCTTCCCCTTTGCTGTCATTTTTCTGGAATACATAGTACTCGTAGTTGCGTTTATTACCATCCAAAACACTTCCTGTTACTGGTAGCATTTCTCTTTCTATCAATTCTACTTGTTTTGCGAGTTGTAAATCTTCTGGTTCTGATATAATCTCTGCTTCTAATATTTCTGTTCCTTCTGGTAATATTTCTGCTTCATGTCTTAGTACTTCCGAGTCAATTTCTTGAGATGGACAGTTGTGCGTATTATCACCCAATAAACTAATTGGTATTTCTTCTTCTGTTAATACAGTACCTGACGTTTCTGATTCTCCTGGCAGTTCTAAATCTAATGATATATCTGCCGCCTCTGTTAATATTTTGGAGTTAGTTCCGTGTAATTCGTAGTGGTTATCGTCCAAAACACATATTTCCGTATTATTTGATGAATTGTGATCATTACTTTTCTCATCAATCACTTCAACAATTAAAACTTTTTTCTTGCTTTGATAAAAAGACTTTAACAGTTTCATTTGATCCATTATTTCTCGGTATCTTTTATTCCCATATTGTGATATAGTAACAGCTAAGGAATTGCATAATTTGGAAGCCTCTCTAAATTTCTGGTGCTGATTTAAAACTGGCTTGCTTATGGTATGTTCAGTTAGTAGTTCATGGTTTGAATCATAAATGGGTAGGTCTTTCATAGTTGCTCGATGGTTTTCAAGGTAATACTTCACAAGCCATCTTTCATTTACCAACAATAAAATTCATCATATAATTCAGCATTGGACTGTCTTCTAACTGCTAAAATATGACGACAAGGTAACTTCATTTGGTTTCGAAAGCGACAAGAACAGTTGTCAACTGTAACACTTATTAATCCTTCTCTGTCTGAGTTGTAACTAAAAGTTTGATCATTTTCCTTCTTTATTTTTATAATTGTTGTAGGCAAAGATTTAAACTGCTTTTCAAGATGCGACCACGCAAATGCTGTTATCAATTTCATATATCGGTATTCGGTGGAAGAAGTTTGATAGTGAGTAACGGGGGTTTTGTACAGCAAAAGTTGGGCACTATGATCCCGGTCTATTCTCAAGGACTGTAACACTGTTTTGAAATCGGTATAAAATTGGCATAATGAACTATGTCTGTCAACACCCGATTTAATTTTTTGATTGATGCTCTCCAAACGATTCGTAGTGCTATTATTTAGAGTAAAACATGAACTCTTTAAACCTTCTACCCATTCATTTTTTATGTTATGCCAGTTTTCATCATAATACTTTAAAACATTTTTAACATCAAGTTTCTGTAATTCCTCGTAGTTAATATTATATTCTTTAAGAGTTGCCGAGTAAGCTATTTTTTGTATTACTTGAAGACACTTTTCTCTCGTTTCTTTTTTTATGGCCATCCTTTCAATAGTAATCTCCCTTCTAAATGTCCGAAGTGTATGAAAAAGACAAAGTAAAACGTCTGCGTGTGGAAATTCGTTCTTAAAAATATTTCTCTCTGTCATGTCTTTATCGGTTAATATTGTCACTGTCTTAACCCATGCCTCATTCTTGTATTTAAACGTTTTAATCATTACTTCGATAGCGGATTTACTCTCATCAGCCATCAAAAAAGTAGACACAATTTCACTTTGACCGTTACCATCTACTGCGAGGAGTATGTACAATGCCATATTCAGCTCGTTTAATTTATAAGTAGCATCGCATATTAACAATTCGGGAAATGTCTGAAAAACATGTTTCATGAAAAAATCTTGGTAATAAATGCCAATTAAATTGCCCTCTTGATCGTGCGCGATTTCTACAGCACAGCCCTCATTTTCAGATAATATTGACACAATTTTCTCCAAATCGTTTGACTTTAATGGCAATCTTGTAACATACTTTATATTACGTATGTCTTTGCTCAAAATAATTTTTCCAGTCTTTTGCATGATGTAGTTTTGAACATCTTTCGGATTTGCTCGTAATTTTAGTAGTTGTTGAACTTCCTTTTGATCTTCGCTGTCTAGTTTCCTTTTTTTGGCAAAGTGCTTATACGCATCCTGTTAATTTTAAACTCATATCAATTGCAATAGCATTACCCATTCACAATGTTCAGATCATATTTACCATAGGGTGGCCTATGGAAAAAATTCCTCTGTAGGTTTGTGAACGTGTGTTCAACATTTAAATTGGGTTGGGCCAAACTTATCGTAAATAAGGTCTGATCGGATATTACCTACCACGTGCTTACAAAAAAACCAATATCTATCTTTTTTTACTTATTAAATTGATAAGTCAATATTAGCCGAATTTGTATTAGAAATACGGTGTACTACCCAATTTTTCTTGCAAGCGGTGTTGTAGGTACCTAATAAAGGCAACATCTTATGTAGTAGGTCTACATAACATGTTGCCTTTATTAGGTAGGTACCCACCTTATTTCTGATATGGTTGTGTTGATCGTGTAGTAATTTGCAAAGTAGGTGTTTACCATCTTCTGCAAGAACGAATTTTATTTTCATGGGGCATCCCTCATACATTGTACTAAAATAAATTGCAAAAAAAATATTAGTATATAGGTATATCTATATCTTAGTAAAATTATTTTCGATAAGTTATACGTACCTAAGTATAGATACCGATAATTACTTTTATTTAAACGGAAGAAAATATAAACATATGTACTTACGAAGATTTTCTTATCGCTTTTCCACGACTCTTGAAACGCTTCCCTCCTTTTGAACATGTATACTCGACATAGTAATACTTAAGGTTCCGATTTCCTCTTGCAGCTCTAGGATATTTTTTGACAGCTTTAGATAATAAACAGGAATCTCTTTTCTGTAGAGTAACGTAATTGGTTGCTTCATATTCTTTTATTTCTTGCTCCAACTGTTCCAATGTTGCAAATAACGCACCCTCCTTCATTTTATTATTGAAACAATATCGTGCTTCTAACCCAAAACAACCTAACCTATCTTAAATCACAGCTGATGTCTGAGCATAGTACGCACGGGGTGCTAGAATACCCACTGCTGCTCCGTGCGCACGGAGCAAGAGTTAGAGGACTATAGTTCCATGCGCACGGGGTAGCAGTCACTGCGTAAAACGATTGCATAATAAAAAAAATCAAATTATTCCCTTTTTCTCAAAAAAAAATTTTTTTTAAACTCAACAAGTACCCTTTTACACAAATATTAGCATTAATTTTCGCCATCGTAATTCTCGTTTTCTCAATCGGAATCAGCAATTGGGTTAGTTTTTCTTAAAAACATACATCGAAATGGTTCCTCCTTATCTAATATTGTCTTGTCTACCAAACCAGGATTCCTAGAATATTTGAGCCATTTTATGTTCCTCCATACATCCAAAAGACATAAAAATGTTTTTTCACTACTAGCGTCTGATGACATGATTATTAACCTTTTTTCCACTTGTAAAGTAGGCTTTCTCGGCATTTGTTCAAAGTGGTTAATAATTTTTTATTATTAACTAGTAGTCAATAATGAGCTGTCACTTTTAGAAAACACAACCCGAAATTTCGCTCAATGAACGTTTAGACAAGTTCTCTAAAACGAATAATTGCCACCATTCGCAATTTCCAGAGATTACATACCTAAAATTATCACATTTTGAAAAAATTCGAACGAAATTACTCTTTGAAAATATCTCAATGACAGAACAAAATACGGCCTGTTTGACTTGTACTTCCACGTACTTGATTGACATGTTAAATTAATAAACAACAATTCTGTCCAACCGTTAACTCTCTTATCAATATAATATGTTAATTTAGAGGATTTCAAGTGCTAGTAGTGAAAAAAATAGTATATATACCACGGTAGAGAAGTCTATTATTGCCTTCGCACCATACACCCCTCGGCGCAAGCGCCTCGAGATGTAATCTTGGTGCTCAGGCAATAATACTGTACTTCTCTACCTTGATATATAATGTACTATTTTTCACTACTAGCGTCTGATGACATGATTATTAACCTTTTTTCCACTTGTAAAGTAGGCTTTCTCGGCATTTGTTCAAAGTGGTTAATAATGTGGATATTATTAACTAGTAATCAATAATGAGAACTGTCACGCTGTCACTTTTAGAAAACACAACCCGAAATTTCGCTCAATAAACGTTTAGACAAGTTCTCTAAAATGAAGAATTGCCACCATCCGCCATTTCCAGAGAAATTACATACCTAATTTTGAAAAAATTCGAACGAAATTACCTACTCTTTAAAAATATCTCAATGACAACAAAATACGGCCTGTTTGACTTGTACTTCTACATACTTGATTGACACGTTAAATTAAGAAACAAACAATTCTGTCCAACCGTTCACCTTCTTATCAATATAATATGTTAATTTAGAGGATTTCAAGTGCTAGTAGTGAAAAAAATAGTATATATACCACGGTAGAGAAGTCTATTATTGCCTTCGCACCTTACACCCCCCGGCGCAAGCGCCTCGAGATGTAATCTTGGTGCTCAGGCAATAATAGTGGACTTCTCTACCTTGATATATAATGTACTATTATTATTTAAGTGCGATAGTGGGAAAAATAGGTACCTACATGTCTACAGATCACCCTTTTCACAAAACAACATTATAGCGTATATGGTAATAAGTCGTCTTATACCACTTTTCACAAACATTGTGGGCTCAATGTATAGACATAAGTGCACTTACATCACTTTACACACAAGAATCCTTTGCAAATCGACTTATACCCCTGAACACTATATAAATTCCTTGGATAGGATTAAGCTAGACTTATACCCGTTTTCTCATGCAAAGAACTCTACATTTTGAAGTATATGACACACTTATCTCATTTTACCCAAAATTGGACTTATACCCCTTTTCCCGAACACCAGCCAATTTCCAGCGCATTTGTTCGGGATTGACATCAAACTCTGCGTTAGCTTTGGTCAGGGTTATAATTTGAGAACCGCGTGTGAAAGCTCCAACCTGTTATTGTTGTTGGTATCACAGTTACTAAAGAGACGTTGGTATTGATTATTCCCCTACAGGTTTGCTGAAGGGTAAACGTAAACTGAGGGTTCAATAATTATTTGAGATCACCTTAGAATGGCCAAAAAACATACCTACTTCCGAAAAAGGAGAAATTATTTCGCGATGATCCATATTCTGCGTGAGCGCGGGAGATAATACACATGTTGAACGAAAAGTCTTTTTGTTCAACATTGACACGATACTATCCCGGAAGTCGCATAAATTGTAGACCGGGATCAGATGTTCTGTGACCGGCATTCTTTCCTGGCGAGAGGTTTAGGTATTTATCCTAAATCAGTCTATTTCAAGCGTACAAGTCAAATCTCGAGTCAAATACAAATGGGTAATAAGGCAACCAAGAGTAAAACAAGCAAAGGAGTATGTAACGTTCTTTTCTTACCAATTCATATTCCAAATTTATATTCCATTTAAGTAACTTCGAGTTTTACTCGTTGATCGTTGAGTGAGAAATAGTAAAGGGGTGTAACTGTAATGTAAAATTGCGATACATATTCCCACATATTCTCACTCGCCGAAGCTTCCCGCACCCCACAGTCCACAGTGGGAAAGGTGTGAGTGTGTTAGACGCGCGACTCTGATGCTTAAACGTCGCTCAACAACACGAACGCTACTACAACTGCGGTAATCGACTACACTTTACGAAATCGCCGATGTACTGAAGCATCTGGGAACAAGCTTCATCTAAATTAATCGACCTGCGCCTCTTTATATTTCTCACTGAACACCCTAATTTAAATTTAGTATTCTCGCTCTATCTAGGTATTTCCTTTGTAAACCCGTTTAGCTTAGATGCCAGTTATTTCTATAGTCCATTTGCTATTTCCTTAGTTCTTTGCTCGCCACTAGAGGTCGTGATCTTCTTTTCTTTTCTGAATACACATTCCCTGTACTTCTTTCCTTCAGAGACGATCTGGCCATTATATATGATGCATGCAAATTTTTCTCGATACGCTGTTACTTTTTACTTGACTTAGTGTCTACCTGTTTTGGCTATCAGCATACTTCTTTGTAGCATTTTCTCTCTATTTCTGATGTGCTGTTGCTGTGCTCCATTGAATACGTTTTGCATACCTGTGTTTGTAAGTAATTAGCACCTGAATATGTACCTAATCGTTCCTGTCTAACTGCAAGTATTTACGAAACCTTTTGGAGAATATTAGCTTTGTGAATCACTTCGATATTTCTGATCCTACGTAATTCTCTTTTGTCGTTATTGATTATGATCCTTAATTACGTTATTTGTATCACTCCGAAGAATTTGTTCATACTATCTTATTTACATTTTGAATTAGAGTAAATTACATTGCTGTTTGTATAGAAATTTAGTTATTTGTGCATAGTAAAGTAGTTTTTCTTGAGCTAACGTCACGTTCATGCTTTTATACGCCGATTTGTACGGATGATCCGTGGTTGAGTCAAAATTTTGCTTTTGCTAGTGTAAAGTCATTATTATTAATTCCGATTGAGTATTCATTACGGTTACAGAATAGGATTTACTTGACTAGTATCGGACGTTAAACATTCACTATCCCACTGGAAATAATTAATTTTAAGGTTAAGGTTTAAGGTTTAATTCTTATTTTTAGGTTTAACATCTTGGAAGATAAAACCACGATAGTAAATCCGTGTTCTTCTATCTTTACACAATCATATTTCTTTTTCTAAGAACTATACCGATACAATTATTTCATTGTCTTAAACTAGAATGATATGGGCTTCCAATTTTAAGTATATAATAACTAATATAACATAACTAACATGTCTAATCTGGTATTAGTGCAGTTGTAACAGTCTCTTCAAAATCGCGCATTAATTATCCGCGCAAAGTGAAATTCATTACGCGTGAAGTTTTTGTGTTTTTTAGAATTGTATCACATATTTCGATTGAATTGTGGCCAAAGGACACAAAATGTGTTTCAGACCGAATTAACCTGATGAGCACAAAATGTTTAATTAGCAGCACAAATTAGCACAAAATGAAATGTAAAACAGGACCCCAGTTATTGTCCCTTTCGCAGAACAGAGTCTCCGATGCGGGATAACCTTTGATAAGAGATGTCCTTACACATGTTACCTGTATAAAGGCCACGTCTAGATTTTCTTTGGTGAACCTCGGGCTTTGGGCTTTCCTCGCCTTCCATTGGAATCACCTTTTCACCAGAGGCTTCTTCGGGCTTTGAGGGTCCAATCTCCTCAGTGTCTAAGTGGTCTTTTGAACGGCCTTTCTCTGTCTGCGAGTAAACCGAATTTGCCCGAGCATGAAAGCCAATCCCGAATTGTTGTCTAGATAACTGACCGACCGCGAAGACTATTACTGCGGTAGTGTTATCCACTACGTTGCGGGGGATTTCTGAGTGATTTTTGTATTTAAGTTGGACATAAAGGTCCCACGAGTATTGGGCTTTTGGTGGTTGCGCTGGTGTTCTTAATTTTGTTTCGTTTATTGGGTCATGGTTTAATTACAGTATATACATATACAGGGTGTCCATTTGAAACCTTCCCCACACGGATTTATCGAAAACCATTGATTAAAGGAAAAAACGCAGAGACACGACAAGAGAGACAACTTTTTAACCAAAAACTACTTCACCCCCTTTCATCCTCTGCCCCTAGGGTCATTCCCTTAAAAATGTTAAATGACAAGTGATATCGAGTAATAGCTTGTGTGAAAGGTCTTTCGAGGACCTTTATTTTGACATTTGATTTTTTTTAATCTGTCGATACGTTTTCGAGAGAATTAGAAAAATCTTTATTCAATTTATTTAATCATCCTCTATCTTAATTTGTTCAGATAGAAAACAAAAACAAACGAAAATATTACTTATTTGTTGCTATGGGAAGGAAAGAATTTAATTTAGTGTCAGTTACTTTTGTGAAAATCTTGGAATAGTGAAAATTAGTTAATTGATTCAGACACTAACCGAAATAGTGGAAATTATTCTATTTTATGGTGCCCATATTCAATGTGCTCGGCAAACTGCCGCCACGTTTAACACCAGACGCCTACGAATAGTCTTACAAAAACAACACTCCAATGACTTTGGGAATCT